AATTGTTGCCAAACGCTGAAGTATAAAAGATATTGTTTTAGTTGGAAAATAAAAATGTTTATCCTTATTTGATAACAAATCAGAGAAATCTTATGATTTATAGAATGAATTAAAGCGGTTGTAACTTATATTCATATGTATATATATATCTCCGTGTCAAGGCGATTTCGTGTAAAGTAATGAAAAAAAAATTAATTACATTTATATGTTCGTATTTTAAATATTTAAAACAATAATATATTATGTGTCATTTCTATTTTTTCATTATGATTTATTAAGCAGACGTCTACATGCATCTCTAGATGGCCGTGATTATACTCGGACAAGATCATGATGAAACAAAGATACATATTCATATTATTTGTTATAAATTCAATTTTCAGAACTTGATATTTAATTAATATGGTGTTATAGTGTTATAGTTTTTATTAAACAACAGACAAATGAGAGAGAGAGAGAGAGAGAGAGAGAGAGAGAGAGAGTAATATTCAGTTTTAGCCCCCCCCCCCTTTTCAGGCTTCACCAAATGTTTGTATACCTATATCAAACAAAAACTCTGAATTTTTTTTCTAAATATATCAGACAGTGAAAGTAACTTTTTTTTTTTTTATCAACAAATCATATCCATTTGTTTCACAGTCATACTCGTTTTTTTTATTGTCCTGCTTCAAGTTCACACAAAGTCCACGTGCTTGTCCTGTCAATCAAAATCATTCGACACTGTGCAGGTGTGAAAGTTTCGTCACATCGAAGACGAAGTGCGAGTATTTCCAACAAGTTATAACATTTATTTTCATCATTTCTAGATTTGATTCCAACATTTGAATAATAAATTAGTAAAATACAGTAGGCATTAACACTTGAATGTGAAACATACTCTCTGCCAATTTCAAATACCACCGCCGACACGTGTACATTTTGATCTACTATTGTTTTGTGACTTTTTTAGATGCATGTTTGTTTTGAGACTGAAATTTTGTTCTACAAAAGACCGTAGCTTTTTTTAAAATGTTAATTAAAACATTCTGGATATACGGTACTGACTAAGTCACCGATTTAGGGGGAAAGGGGGGGGGGGTATTAATCATATCGATTAGCAAACATATAAAGTTACGGTGAAGAAAGTTTTTTTTTCTCTATAACTATAGACTTTACATATTACAGTAGAGAAATTCTGTAGTGCATTACATTTTAAATAAATATTTCCTTTAACCACACTATCAATTCGTTCTAAAGATAATAAATTAACAGGATATCCGCAGTACTATGTATAACTCTCAGAACTAGCACTAGTTCTATTATATTTTCTGTAGTAATTGAAAAAAAAACGTATTAGAAATAAATATTTTCGTAATTTTGCTGCGTAATTATTTGACTTAAATAATTATATCTCCATTAATGATTTGTCGTCTTTAACAAAACAACAAAATGTTGCAGTGCTTGAAGTATTTGCACATTGCCCTTAGTTAAATTTAATATTTCTGCATCGTTCTACATAGGTAAAGAATGTGCTTTTAACAACATTTATTTTCCAGAGTAATTTAATAAATAACCTAACAGCTAAGTTAAAATAATAAAAATATATATCGTAGATATTTTTCCTCATGAAATAATGATTCTTCAAACACGATATGTTAGTTAATAAATTATAAAAAACCTGTAACTCCTTAACTACAAAAAAGATAAGTCCTTTCACTTCGGAGTTCCGAATGGCAATGAAAACTGAACGATAGGTGAACGCTGAATGCAAGGTGAACGCAAAGTGAACGGAACGAAGAGCGAACGCTGAAGGCTTTGTGAACGGTGAACGCGAGCGCACGGTGAACGGTGAACGCAAAACTGTGAACGGAGAGTAAACGGTGAACGCACGGTGAACGAACGGTGAACGCACGCTGAACGAACGGTGAACGAACGGTGAGCGAACGGAAAAATGGGAAAGTAGAACGTTTCAGGGACTGTACATATGACATAACTCTGTGAGATCCAATTGTAAAATATTCAAAAGCAAAAAAAAAAAAAAAAAAAAAAAAAAAAAAAAAAAAAAAAAAAATTCCATTCATGTTATGTATTTTTTTTTATTGCTTCAACTTATACTTTGAAATAATAAATAGATATACAATTATTTTGTTTTTTAAGTAAATACGACGATTTAGCCTTCTTAGGAATGCCAGCAAATTCTTTAATACCATCCACTATTCTCCTGTGAATGTCATCTTTGTGATTTTTATACAACGTCTTTTTACCCAATATTTTGAGCGAGATTCGATATTAACATGCCATGTTTGACACACTCTTAAACAATCTCAGAACTAAGGAGCTCATGAATATACCTCCATATGATAGATTGTAGTCTATGTAAACATTTAACATCTATTATTTAAAAAAAAAGAAAAAAAAAAAACAATGTTCTAGATCTCTTCTTTGGATACCTATGTTTATTAATCAATCATCTGAAAACCAACTCGGGCCATCCAAACATCTTTGACTTAACACCCATAAAGAAAGCATTTTTAATTATCTTAAATAAAACTCGCGCAATTTTCAATGCAAATTTTCTCAAGCATGTACCACACAGACAATAAAGTAAAGGAAAAATGTTAAATATTTTTGCTACTTTTACCAATGAAATGGAGCTGAACTAATCAGTTGTGTACTACTGGGCGTGAAATTTACGAGATAATCGAAGTCACACAGTGTTTGCAAGCAGTAATTAGGGTTTCTACTTAGGGTCTACCGGTAGATTTACTAGGAGTGCAAATATAACATGTGTTTATATACATCATTTTTGTTTATTGTAGCAAGTGTGGAGGGTCCAAGATAGATCCAAGCTCATAATGTATTTTATCAGAGACATAAATGTTATTTATAACTCTGATTTTAAATACACAAAAGCCAGCTATAAAACTGAGTCCTAAGACAATACACAAGAAAATAACACTAACTTTTTGTTATTGTTTAACAACAAAAACCAAACATTATGCTTTTGTGAAGCAATGATGTCCCAATAGGGCAGCTCATGGCAAAAGTTTCTCAAATGCAAGTCAAAATCAAAGGTCATGGTCAAGAAATCAAAAATGTTTGTACCGGAAGATAGGTCTTGTCACAAGGAATACACCATTGAAATATGAAATCCCTAGCACCAACCATTCAGAACGTATAACCAAAGTTGAATTTTTCAAAAGTAGGTCAAACTACAAGTCAAGGGAAAAGATCGAATCCCAAGCAGCAGCCATTTGTATGTTATGATGAAAGTCGTATCACATGAAGTATAGAAGTCTTATCATCGACCGCTTAAAAGTTATGACAAGGATAAAGTTTGATAAAATTTTGCAAAAGTGGGTCAGACTCCAAGGTCAAGACGTCAATTATGTCCGTACCCAAGAGAGGTCTTATTAAAAGGAATACAAATGTGAAATACGAAATCCATAGCTCCAACGAATTAAAAGTTATGGGCAAGGAAAAAGTCTTGCAGGCAAACAGACAGACAGATCAAAAACTATATGCCCCCGAATCTTCGATTACGGGGGTTAAAAAAAATCACAATACAATCAGAAAAGTAAAACACGCTTATAGCGAACACGCTTATCATAATAAATTTACGATTATAGTATTGTAAACTTATCCAATTACGTTTATAGCGAGGCAAAGTTGCCCGTCCCTGGTGTTCACTATATGCGTTTTTTGCTGTATTAAATAAGTATTTTATTACATCAATGTATAAATAAATCATCATAGATTTAATAACAGCAAGCTGCGTTTTCTTGTTTTCAAGTGCTTAATTGCACTTCCACAATTCCCTCTTATAATGACATCCCTGTTATTGGCCAAAATTGCCGAGGAACAAATGTTGTCGATAAAACTGGGGACCACTGTACTCTAGGGAGCGATATATTGAATATCTACTGTGAAACTATTTGATGTAAAAATAAGCAGTGAATCGTTAAATTTTGACATTCATTGTGTCATACTCGAACCGATTTCCTGGCAATTTTTTTTAATGTACTTTATAATGCACTTTATTAAATTTGTCAGCTCGACGGTCCGTTTTCTAAAACAATGAATTTCCAAATTTACAAGAAGTGAATTAAATTTTTGAAAATTCATGAGAACAAGAACTACGACGCTTCACGCCGGCACGTTTCACGAAGCACTGATGTTATTGCTTTATAATAAATATGCCGGCGTGAAAAATTAAATTCATATCTAATATGTACATCATTGACATGATGAGTTGCCGCAAATTATGTTTTTATGCTATAAAACTGTCATTTTTAAAAAAAAAAACAGTTTGGACTATAGTTGTCAAGTACGGTATTATGGCGTAACAATAAAGAAATTTATTACCCATAGTTGTTCATGAGAAAATGAACTGTTGTCTATTTGTGAAGAATTATAAGGAAAAGGAATCGCAAAAATAAATATTTCAGCTTTGATTGTAAGATTTTTCACACACCCCACTACTTATGTTATGTCATGATGTCACAAGGAACTCTACTAAAGCGTAATGTCACACTAAAGATGTTGATTGAGGAAATAACATCGAGTGAAAAATGTCCCTGGTACTTGCTATATTGTGTGTTTTACTGTAATTGACACAAACAAATGAAAAAAAAGGTATCTTTTTTTATTTTGTAATTTAAAATATCTCTTACATTACCATACATATTGAGCCAACAAGAACATCAATTTCACAGAGACATTTTAGAGGTGACCACTGGCCACTAAAAATACTCAGAAATGAACATGTTTGCTTTTCAATAGTTTCATCACCTACAAAAATTTGCAAATGTAAATACAAGCAGATGTATTGCAATTTAGTAAATATAAAAGGGGAATGGTAATTGAAATATTCTCATTTTCTTGGTTTTGACAGAAACAAAGAACAAATAGACAACAATGATTTTTTTATGAGACCACATATCTACTGATTTTAAGAATAAATCAAAGAAGAAAACATTTTTCTTAAATTGTGTAATTCACAACATTCATCCAGTCTTCTTTTACTCTGGAACAACAAATACGTCAACATCACAAAGAGTCAATACAGCGGTGACCAAAGAGATTTTGACGTAGCGTCCAGTGGTAGAGGGTGGGCAGTCAATAGTGACCAATTCACCAAGTGATCCAGGTCCACCATAAAATCCACACAGTTACGAAGACGATAAGACAAATCTGCAGAAAATGAAATAGAACTGTACCCTGAAAATTCTTGCTTTTGTATGCCTGAATAAGTACAGGATTTTTAACAATGTAGTGCTGTTTAACCTCCAATGGGGAATTTTTCACTCATTTAGAGACGTCACCATATACCAGTGAAGGCCTTCAAATATAAACCTTTACTCGGCAATCAAGGTCATTGATCAGTGAGGTTTCTTTATCATGCCAATGCCTACCGTGACACGGGGCATCGGTTTTTAAGGTCTCATCCAAAAGACCCACAATTTCACTCCAAATTGCAGAGCGTTTGGCGAAGGAACAGTTGCAACCTATTTTTATCGACTTAGGTCAGTCTCAGCCGTGATTCGAACACACGACCTTCCGATTGGATCGGATGAAAAACTTGCGAAATCCTAGAAAATTTTATAGATGCAAAAACTCTTCATCACTTTTTATTTAGCACTTTTTAATTCAACAATTGGATACATGTGCATGTATATATGCGACGTTTCATCAATTAACAATATTCATTTTTATCTGAGTACATGTACGTTTATTTGATATATACCTCTGAACTCTAAATGATAAAAGATAAAACAGAGTCCGATACATCTGTTTCATATTTGGATATTTTACCCAGAAGAGACGTTAATGGTAACCTAACAACACATTTTTGATAAACGTGATGACTTCAACTTTTCAATCGTCAACTTCCCTGATCTATGTAGCAATATACATGTCACCTGCATATGGAATTAATGTCTCCCAGTTGATTCATTACGCAAGAGTATGCTCTACGTACGAACAATTTCGTATACAAAGGCAAGCTACTGACAAACAAGTTCATTGTTAGGCCATTATTTTCACACTGAATTGTCTACTGATTTTTTTTCCCTTTTGCCCGATCATGACAAGGAGCGGTTGTGACTAGTCAACATGGATGCTAACTCCACAATGGCACCTGATCCCACTTCTGATGTTTTCAAAGGTCCGTGTTTGCTCTGCTCCAAATTTGATTTAATCGACTTTTAGCTTGATTACTGTTCTTTATCTGCATTTTTCATTCTAGTATATTCTTAGAGCAGATTTGGTACTTTAAATACGAGTAATATAAATATATGATTACAGTCCCTGAAACGTTCTACTTTCCCATTTTTCCGTTCGCTCACCGTTCGTTCACCGTTCGTTCAGCGTGCGTTCACCGTTCGTTCACCGTGCGTTCACCGTTCTCTCTCCGTTCACAGTTTTGCGTTCTGCGTTCACCGTGCGCTCGCGTTCACCGTTCACAAAGCGTTCACCGTTCGCTCTCCGTTCGTTCACTTTGCGTTCACCTTGCGTTCAGCGTTCACTTATCGTTCAGTCTTCACTGTCATTCGGAACTCCAAAGTGAAAGGACTTATCTTTTTAGTAAGTAAGGATTTACGGGATTTTAAATTTAATAATTAACGTATCGTGTTTAAAGGATAATTATTTTATGGGAATAAATTATCTACAATATGTTTTATTATTATTCTAACTTAGTTGTTAGGTTATTAACTAAATTACTCTGGAAAATAAATGTTGTTATAAGTATGTACCTATGTAGAACGATGCTGAAAAATAAAATTTAAATACGGGCAATATACGGGTACTTCTAGCACTGCAACATTTTGTTGTTATGTTAAAGACGACAAGTCGTTAATGGAGAGATAATAATCCATGTCAATCAATTTACCAACTGCAGCAAAATTACAAAAGTATTTATTACTAACACGTTTTTTTTTCAATTATTATAGAAATACATTATTAGAACTAGTTCTGAGAATTATAAATAGTACTGCAGATATCCAGTTAATTAAATATCTTTGGAGCGAATTAAATTGATAGTGTGGTTAAAAATATTTATTTAAATGTAATATACTACAATTCATATATAAATTCTATTGTTAGAGAGAAAAAATTCCTTTCTTCACAATAACTATATGTTTGCCATTCAATATGATTAAGACCCCCCCCCCCCCCCCCTCCTTTTCCACGTAGATCGGTTACTTAGTCAGTATTTCCAGTATATTTTAAATTAATATTTAAAAAGAAGTTAACGCGTTTTGTAGCACAAAAATTTCAGTCTCAAAACAAACTTGCATCTAATAAAGTCATTAAACAATAATAGTTCAAAATATACACGCGCCGACGGTGGTACATGTATTTTAAATTGGCCAGGGAGTATGTTTCAAATTCATTCGAAGTGTTTATGCCCAATGTATTTTATTTATTTATTTATTGGAAAAATTGGAATCAGATTTAGAAATGCTAAAACATGTTAAAACTTCTTGGAAATACTACAGTGTAGCACTTCTCCTTTGGTGTGACGAGACTTTCACACCTGCACAGCGTCGAATGATTTTGATTGACAGGACAAGCACGTGGACTTCGTGTGAACTTGAAGCAGGAAAATAAAAACCGATTATGACTGTCAAATGAAGTGAATTTGTTGATAAATAAAAAAGGTTACTTTCACTGCCTGATATATTTAGATAAAAATTAAGAATTTTTGTTTATACAGGTACATATGTACATGTACATGCATGCATTTGTGGAAAGGGGGGCTAAAACGGAATCTCTCTCTCTCTCTCTCTCTATCTATCTATCTCTCTCTCTCTCATTTGTCCGTTTAATCAAAACTATGACACGTATTACTTAAATACCAAGTTCTGAAATTTTAATCTATAACAAATAATATGAATGCTTCTTTGTATCACCTTGTCCGAGTATAATCACGGGGAATTGTCTACAGATACATGTAGAAGTCTGCTGAATAAATCACCATTAAAAAAAATGAAAAGACACATAAATATATTATTGCATTAATTTTTTTAAATACAAGTGTATACCTGCAATACGCCCACAGACTAGCAAAATATTCTTTATTTTTTTTCTCATTATTTTACACGGAATTGCCTTGACACGGAAATTACATGTATGTTTGTTACAACCGTTGTAATTCATTCTTTAAGTCAGAAATGTACTCTTCGAAAATCATTATTTGTAATGGTTTTATATATCAAATAAGAATAAACATATTTATTTTACAACCAGAATAATTAAACTACAGCTTTTGGTAACGACAATGTTTTACAGCGACAAAAATCGTGTGATTAAACAGCTGAATTTAAACATCATACATATGTGCAGAAAATATTGTAAGAAACTTAATTAATAGTTTTATTAAATATGCATGTTTCATCTTTCTTAGGACATTTTTTGAATATTTATTTATTTTCCGCCTGACATTGAATACAATAGAATAGATACAATGCATGGAGAAGATCAGAGGTATTCCGAATAAATCGTTCATCTTGCGTTCACCGTTCGTTCACCGTTCACTTTGCGCTCGCGTTCGCGCTCCGTTCGCGTTCTGCGTTCGCTCTCCGTTCAGCGTTCACCTACCGTTCACCAAGTTGCGTTCAGCGTTCACACATCGTTCACTCACCGTTCGCTCACCGTTCGCTCTGCGTTCGTTCAGCGTTCGCTCACCGTTCAAGTGGGAAAGTAGAACGTTTCAGGGACTGTAACTATTAAGCAAAAAAAAAAAAAAAAACGCAACAATAAAAAAAATCTTATGCGTACCATATCTGTACTGATCCATCCCACGGTTGACCATTGTCACAGATATGATGTAATAAACCTAAGATCAACCCTCCACCATGATTCGTTATCAGATAATTCTGTATGGCTACAGGAGTTATGGTCAATGTTCGTGCTTCTATTTCCATCAACGGTTAAACCAGAATCATACCACATATAGGTTGATGATTGCTCTGACAGCTTGCCAACTGCCATAGTTTTAATGACTTAAAACATAGAAATTAAATAATTCAATGTTTTACACTATATCTCCATTGACAGCTTTATACACTTAATAAATTAGGAAAGCATGCATCACATGCTTTAAAGCTTCATCAAAGATGTAAAAACAAAAATCGAAGAGTGGTCAGCTATGTAGCAACCTCTGATGATACAATGCCCCTTAATAATAGAAAAATCATTAAGCGTTGCAATTTGCAACGTTAATGTCATAAACTATTTCATTACTGTAGATCACTTTCGCGACACCTTATTCTTATGTTTGCGAGGTAGACATTTTCTCTTTATTAGCGAGACAAAATTTTCACGAACTGTGGTTATTTCTTTATATAACCTTAAAAAAAAATACCAATATACGCAAGGATAATATTTTCGCGAGCACACTGCCCCGCGTAATTACGCGAAAATAAAGATTTACAGTAAAAGGTGACATTCTCAACCGCTGATGCTAAATTGCTGCTAATGAAAGAATTATATCATTAAACTGAAGAGAATGTCAATTATTAATGCAATAATTTATGACATATATCTATCATTAAGCAGCGTTTAATCATAAGCGGTTGCTACAAAGCTACATAATAAATGTATTCATTTGCATTATAATAGCATTATAGTCCGTGCATTTGCCTAGCTGCAAACAGAAAAAAAATATTCAACTTTAAAGATTTGCGATAGCATGAAAGAGTTTATGGTTCCCCAACCCTCAAATGAATATTAGAAATAATAATTCATCATTTTAGCACTAATACTGTTTCTAATACTGTTTCTAAAAATTCTCAAAAAGAGATTCTAATTTGCTGTAATTGTTAGTCTGCACGATTTATTGTGGTATACTGATCCTAATGTTTTCCAACACAAACCTTTTTGACGCTACGTGACAACCTGATTCCAAACCTGTCAATCTTTATAATAATTCTAAATACATAGATATTTCAGATGTACAAACTTTTGTCTTTTATTTTTCTTTTAAAACAAATGTTTCTATATAAAAAGAACATGCTACTTTTTTCAAATATGTGTTTTGTTGCTTTTTGAATAAAAGATAGTTTCTAAGATTATTGTATACACAGTTTAACGTTCAGATATGGAAAGAATGCGCAGGAGTTGATCCACAAAGAATGGCAATTTTTTCATCCTTAAAACGCGGTGCTACAATTTGAAAACTTTGATCCCAGAACTATATGAGTAGGCGAACACCAGCAGCAACTTACACCATTTTGGTCTCTTTTGGACATCTTCCTGTCTGTACGCATTTTTTAATTCCACAAAATTGTCTGTATAATGGAAAAGTTTATCATAAAGCTTAGTTGTTAACGTCTTTTTCAAGTAAAATATCTAAATATGAAATAGATGTGTCGGACTCTGTGGTATCTTTTATCTCAAGCATACCGGGATATATCGTATCGACATAAGAATGGAAATAGCCATTGTTAATTGACAATACGTCGTCGATATATGTAAATGTCGAGTTGAAGGCCACAGCAAGAAGTAGTAATGTGAATTTACCAATGGTATTTCTTCAGAGTTCATCATTATAGTTAATCATATTATATAGGGAAAATTATCAAATCTCAAATATATTTTAAGGAAATGCGAAGAAAAACACTAGCTATTCATTTTCTAATTGAAAATTGATCAACAAATATAATTTAGGATAAAAAGATATAGGTATCCATGCATTTGGAAAAAAATGCATCTTTTTTATGCTTATACAGTATTTAAGTTCTTCTTTTTACTTAAATTGTTATATTATATATAGTGTAAAAAGCTTGTGCTATCATTACAAGGCATCACATATCACATCTAATTTCATATCATGCTAATAAGCTGTGGTATCTAATACTAGACTACAGAAAATTGTATTTCTCTGAAAATGAATTCATTTTTTTTTTTGTTCTATGGGGTACAAATGTCAACTTTTTAGAAGACCGTTTCTAAGACTTCAAAGAACCTTGAATCATATTAAGATGCATAAAATAAAAATTGTTGCACGAAAAGATCTACTAAATTTCAACCTTCATTTTGAGACATTTTAAATAAAATAATAAAGAGCCATTCTTCCTAGCTGAGGATCGGATATCCTTAAACCTTTAGAAATGAGATGAGATATGCGTTAACCCGAGGTTGGGGAGGGTCGGCGAGGGCCTAGAGTCTCCTGATTTTTTTTCTTCTAAATGTATGTTGGGGAAGGAGCAAAGCATTTTCCCCTCCTTAACGCAACTTCTCAATACTAGCATCATATACAATGTACGTGGTATTTTATTTCTATTTTTTGCTTGCATCCCGATGAGTATACATTATTAAGAAGAATAAACTCATAATTTGTATATACATGTATATATATTTTGATTTCATATCATTTGTGTTTTAGAAGATGACAAAAGCTCTTGGTCGCCTAGGTTTTTTTTTTTTTACAGAAGATGAGTGAAAATGAAGAAAGAAAATAGTAGGACGTATGGTGATAATTTTCTTCTTAATTCTGATGTTATAATGTTCTCACTGTTTGTTGTTTTGTACAGAAGTTGAGATGTTTTTCAAAGTTCTGTTATATAACAAGCATTGAAGCGTTTGTGTATTCCAAGTGAATGATAGACACTCTTTCTTCTTTTCTGAGCATTTAGTGGCACATGATAATCTACTTTTGACATAGTCCTCCATAAAAAGGAAATCATTCTTCAAAACTTTATACAAAGAGGGTCATTTTGTGTATTGTTCTTGACTACGATAAGCATTACAATAGCCAGTAGCCATAGCAAAGAGAAATACAATTATTTTGTTTGTTATATCCTTCATCTCTGAAAGGAAACAACAACTCTCTTGATGGATAGAACTCTCTAGATGGATAAGCATTACAATAGCCAGTAGCCATAGCAAAGAGAAATACAATTATTTTGTTTGTTATATCCTTCATCTCTGAAAGGAAACAACAACTCTCTTGATGGATAGAATTTTTAAGGACTGTATTATTAAGTCTCAATTTTTTTTTTAAATTGGTTCCATTTCCAAGACAAAATAAGCCTGAGAACCCGGTTAATTACTGCAAAAAATATTAAATAAATATAATGATGACAAAATAAATAAAGAATAGAATATTTATTATAATATTTATAATAATTCAAAGTACATTGAGAAAAACATGTTTACGCTTTTGTTCTGGTCTTCGATGTCTCTTCAGTAACTTAACAATGCACATCTGTTTATAACAATCAATTTTTGTAAGACTTTCATAAAACACATCATCAAAGATTTCATCTAAAGGAAACCAACAAATTTTATCACTAAATAATTTACAAAAGAAGCTTTCATTCTTTCTTAATGTTTCTAAAAAACATGAAAATTTTATGGACACTAACTCTCCTTCATCGATTTTTGTTGTACAGAAGTAAATGTAAGATTGACATTGAAAAACTTCATGGACATAAAATCTCCACAAAGAGTATACATTGTATATAAATGACACATCAAAATATCCATGTAAGTACTAGGGTTCATTAATACAAACTAAAGTGAGGAATAGAGTGACATATTTCTATAGATGTGTATTAATAGTCATGGATCGTGTCGTGTTCTTTATCTTTTAATAACACACATTAATTGTAAACCAAAGTAAATTATTCTCGAGTTCTTTGAACTTGTTTTACTTGTGAATATTTATCTTTGCAAACCATAATTCATTTCATTCTTTATTTATTTATGAATCTAGATTGTTTGTGTCAGTCACAAAAATTAAAAGTCATGGACGGATTACAGGTATTAAATCCTTAATAAAAATTGTTTATTGTACCACATTGTAGTGAACACACTGAATTAATAGTAGGGTTGTAGGTGGCAAACGTAGAAGTTTCTGTATTATATTTTCAGACCAAATCTTGAAGACTTGGGACGTTAAGGAAAAAGTTGTTTTATAAAACATAATCAAATTGTACTGAAATAATATAAGGTGTCGCTAAAAATATTTTTTAAGCCACATCTAAGAAGTCAGACTGACATTTAGGAATGTTAAATCCAAACTTTAAAGAAAAGTATCTAAATAGTAGGTTACAATATACTAGGTAACAGTTTTGAAATAAATGGAGTATAACAGTTTACTGTAAATGATTGGTTTAATTATTTATGAAATTAATGGAAGAGATTCTTACACCACATGTAAACACCATTTGTATGGATATAAGTGCTCAACACCTAGAAAATTTTTCAACTAAAAAATTACGATATATCGATCTTGATGATTAGACATGAGCAAAGTCTTGACTCTCGATAAAGGTCAGCAGCTCCCGGTCACTTGAAACTTCCAGTACAAGGCATTGGCACTTTAATTGAAACGATTCAACTGCCTGGGTTTCTTTCTTTCCGTGTGAATTTATACATCATTTCTTCAAATCAACTTAAAACTTAAAATTTTTCAAATTAAAATAAATCGCGCTAGAAACAGAATTATAATTATCTTTTGCGCTGCAATAGTTCGTGTCGTACCAATTGCTCGTCCGAGCTAGCTCCTTTTGGGAACAAAAGTTATATTTTTTCCACATTTTTTTTTTTTGGGGGGGGGGGGTGTTAAAAAAGAAATGATCAAAGAAACCAAGACAAAAACTAATTGCTGTCATAAGACAGTAATACCCGCACTAAAGTGTTTGCCTCTAAATTCACTCTCCTTTATACTTTGGTAGCCAGGAAAAAGTTCTAATAATTCTATAATGTACACAGTACATGTACATGTATTTGTCAAATCGAGCATAAAATGTTCAGGTGAACATATGGCCCATTGGCCTCATATTTAAGCATTTCATATACTAAATTTATTACCAGTCTGATCTTACAGAATTTAAATAACGATGTAAATTATGGGGTTGTAAAAAAAAGTGGGGGATGCAAATTTTTGACCCATGGTTGGAACTTTTAAATCTATTTTCAAAACAACAAATTAATATTATTATAATTTTAGTGCATAGCTAACTTTCAGATTTTCGTCAAATTGT